TAGCTTCTTGTTACTACTAGTAAGGCACTTGTTACTAGTAGCGATGCACTGGTTACTAATAGCTTCTTGTTACAAACGTAGTAAGAATATGTAAGAATGCTCCGTTCGTAGCGATGCCAGGAGCCCTAGTAGCGAACCTTGCCCCTAGTTGCGAACCTTGCTCCTGGTAGTAAGGCCAGGTGCGCCCCATTCGTAGCGTCCGATCGCTCTGTTCGCAGCGATGCCCTTTGTTCCTAGTAGAAATGCCCTTGTTACTATAGTAGCTTCTTGTTACTCGTAGCGATGGCCTCCAACCTAGCAAGAGCTACTAGTAGCTTCTGGGTGGGTGGTCGCGGTGGCCTGGAGCAAAAGGTGGGTCTGGGTATGGACATTCCCATCAGACTGATATGCGCACGGATCAGCTGGCAGTTGGGGCACTGGGATGGACTGGGGGTGAAGATTGATATCTTCCAAACATTAATAGCTTGAGGCCAGCAGCCCCGTTCGTAGCGTCCGAACGCTCCTATAGGTCAAAGGCTGGAGCCCTGGTCACCATGTAGCACCATGTAGCCTGAGCTTCCAGGTAGGTCGTGCCTGTCGGTCTCATGCCATGACCCAAGCTCGAGGTGGCTGCTGGCGAGCAGCAGTGGCCGATCATGCAAGAAGGGCGAACCTGATCTGGACATTTTGATGGGGAGCTGTGGAAGATCGCTGCTCGTCCCTCTTTTCGTTTGCTTTTCTGGGTTTTGCTTGTGCATTGGTAGATTTTGAAGAGGATCCCCTTTTAGCCTCTTGGGATTGCGTTGAAAGCTCCGCTTCCTTTAGCAAGTGTGGGACGTTTTTGTTGAGTCTGAGAATTACTGGCAGTGAGGAGAAAGCAAGTGCCACCCAGTGGGATCGGGTTGGTAGAGACGGGAAGCCAAACGCGACGTTTCACCCTCTGCCTAGCCAAGGCGAGCGTTACGAAGCTTGGCTGCCACGTGACGTCATGTATATAATATATACCCTGAGCATCTGAACCCTACAAATTTGTCGGGTTTGAAAACAAACCTCGGGTTTAGCCGTGACATAAGGGAAAACCTCGGGTTTTTAACAAAATCCTTGTGTTTTGCCACAAAACCCTCGATAGCCATGTGCAGGTGCTCCATATTCATTTTCTCCCGCCGACTTATCAAATTTTCCGTGGTCTAAACATGTTTCACAATATGTTAACAACATTCAACACTCTTGTCAGGAAAAGTTCGGGTCCGTGATTGAGAGCTCCGATAACCCGTGACAAACCCGTGTCAAACCCGTGATTATCCCGTGTCAACCCGTGATTTTGGATGAAAAACCTCGGGTTTTCAGAAAAACATTATGTTTCCCAAACTCGTGACGAACCCGTGACGAACCCGTGATTATTCCGTGACAACCCGTGTTTTTTTCACGGGTTTTAGGGGGGTACAATAGTTGCATTTTTGGTTGATATTTTTTTCGTTCTGATCATCAACCTGGGCTTTTTGAGTTTGAATTCAAGTTCCTGTGGCCCGGCCTTCGAAGATGGCATGGGCGGAAAAGAACACCAAAATGGGAAACCTCGTGTTTCCTCCAAGAACCTCGTGTTTTGGGATTAACCCTACGTTTTTGTCGTGTTTGGAGGCACAAGGTATAATATATATATATACACTCAATCTCAGGGAGGCAGATATTCGGGCTTGACACACAATAAGAACGTTTGTGACATTTTGCCTCTGCAGCGTGTTGGACGGATTTGTCCTGCGAACAAGAGCCAACTGAAACATATCGAATCCAAAAAGAGGTTTAAAGCTGATCTTGAAGTCGCCCAGATTGCAAGATATGATGCAAGAGACCTATATAATTAGAATGGTAATCTGATCAAGGTTTCAAAGGCCTATCTTTGTCTTCAAAGGCCGTATCACTCAGTACTCAGGACACATTCTGGCTTTCTACTCCTCATCAACACTGAAGGGCTTCAATGGGCCCAGCGTCAGACCTCTTTACAGGACCGTTCCGCATTGCGGAGCAGCCGAGTGCAAGCGCGTTTTTCTTTTTCGAAGTGCTCAGAGAAGAGCACTCGTGTGATCAGGGTGGCCCCCGGATCATGTTTTCAAGAATCAAGCGGGAAAGCAGCGACTGTTTGTAGAGGAGCATCTTCTACAGTCAGACTTGGCAGACTTGTTTTACTTCGATTCGCAAGGGCAACGTGTCATTCGCGAGACCGGAGTGGCATCTTTCAGCGCTGAGGAGCAAGGCGCTGCGTGCGTCTCGGCATTGGCGGAACCCAAGAGCTTGCAAAAGCTGCTGCTTCGTCAGGAGCTGCCCGTGTTCCGTGTTCCGTTGCCCGTGTGCACGCCAAGGTCCGCACTCCTTGTCGAATTTGACGTGCAGCTTGTGCTCCCCAAGCATTTGTCATTACTTCACAGCCACCGATGGGAAATGGTTTAGGGACTCCTCTTAAATGTTTTCTGAAGGCTCTTAGCTTTCGGGAAGGATTCGGAGCAGGGATGTTGTTATTTATGACCTCTCTGGACGCTCCAGTAGCACGTGATTTGTGCCGCGACGCAGCACGTGATTTCTGCCGGACGACGGCAGGAGAAGACGCACATTCAACTCTCAGCCTGCACCAGGGTATGCTTTTCAAAGGCAGCCGAAAGTCTGGACAGCCACGAAACCGCATTGGTTGGGGTTTGGTTGTCGTGTCCCTCTCGTTGGTCAATCAGTACAGGGTACTGATGTTGGTGTTTTCTTGTGTATTTGAATAATAAACTATATATTCGAAGGTTAGTACCATTGCAATGAACAGTGAACCTGCAAATTACAGGCCAGTATGACGAGCTAGATCAAGTAGGAAAAGGTGAAGAACACCAGTGGTTTCTATGTACTCGAATTACGTACTACAGGTTGAAGGCCTACTAGGAGCAAGGACGCTACGTTCGTAGCTCCTGGCCTTACTACTAGGAACAAGAAGCCGCAAGTAACGACCAAGAACATCTCTACTCCGTGACTCCGAGGTGACGATGACGAGGAGTTCTAATGACGATGCTCACGACGAACACGACGAAATGGCCGAGAAGACAACGTTCGATGAACAAAAACCCACCATGAAGCATATATACATGTTGGGTTTTGTGACAGCACCAGTCACGCTTCATCAACTGACTGACTTCTAGCTGTGTCCAAGTCTCGTGACTTACGAGCCACTACGTCGCGCGTATCACTTCACGCATCTTCACATCGTTTAATCACCGGTTTTAACCATTTGCTTTTCACCTCTTCACCAGGGAGAGGTTTCGGGCTCATGATGAGCAGGCATCGACCGAAGGAAGCGTGGTCGAAGCCAGATCCAGAGAGCTTTCGGATCTTCCCCAACGTTTCTCAGCCCGGAACAAGGACTCTACGAACGGGGCTCCTGGCCTTACTACTATAGGAGCAAGAAGATAGTAGTAACAAGGGCATCGCTATTAGGTTCCTTTTGCTACTAGGTTGGAGCCCGGTGTAGAGCCTCTGGTGGATAGGTCGAAACCGATAGAGGCCGGTCAAGGATGCTCGAGTCACATCTACCGGTCATGGATGTCTATGGTCGAGGTTTTACGTTTTACACTGCTTTACAGTTGCATGTGCTTTACAGTTTTGCATCTTTACATTGTTTTCAATACTGAGAAAGTGCAGATAAGTGCAGGCTTGTGCCTGCAACCAAATGAGCCTCAAAAGCAGTTTTTGGACGTAGCTGTTGTGCCTCTTCGACCGCTTCCTCCGGCCGAACTTCCACCCTGCTCGGAAACCGCTTCCGAAGCAAACCTCCGCTGGGAGCTGGAGCCGGAGCGAAAAGAGATTTGATTGAATACGCCCTGGAACTTCGATGAAGCTAGCTTTTTGATGCTGTTCGTGCCTTTTGTAGGTTAGAGGCCATCGCTACTAATTAGGTTGGAGGCCATCGCTGCTAGGGTGGAGGCCATCGCCACTAGGTTGAGGGCCATCTGGGTTATGCGGTGAATCGCTGCATCCATGTGGTTCTGGGCTTCACACCAAGGATGTTGAATGCTTATGTTTGTCCATTTGGATGCCTTTGATGCTGCACGAAACCCATGAGCTATATCGAACATGGATATGCTTTATATATAGTAAGGAAAGGTATAGAGGGACCTTCATGCAACCTTGGGAGTGTCTTACTTTCATCTTCCGAAATATACTAGACACCTAGCCTAGCGCCAACGTTCGCCGGTGAGGACCATGTTGGAGGCCATCGCCTCAAGTAGGAGCGATGCCGCGAGCCGCGCGATGTGGGCTTCACCCCGCGAGGCCTCGAGCGGCAGCTCCTCTGTCTCCAGTTGCAAGCTCGCCCCCACGGCGGGGTGCCCAATCGAGGGGCGAGCGAAACTCCCAAAAGCGAGCGAAACGAACTTCACCCACTTCGTTCGAAGAAAAGGTTTAGGTCTCGTGACCATACAGTACATTGCAGTGCTGTTAGGTACTCATACCAGAACTGCTCTCAGCTGTTTCACCCCAGCCGCTGTTCTCCAAAGATTTCACGAAGCGATTGTATCTGGTGCAATGTCGAAGCGCTTGGGCTCAACTCTGTGAAGCGCAGAGCTGAGGATGTTGCCCGCAGAGCTTTGGCCTCAAAGAAAGGCATCATGTTTTAACTCCTTTTGAACTTCCCAAAGATTTCTGAAGCTGTGGCCTCTAGGACCTTCACAGATCCTGCAGAAGCTGACGAGTTGAGTTGCATATTCGTGTCCACAAAAAGATAGAAAAGAGATAACTAAAAAAACAACTCATAGCAATGGCCTCCACCCTACTAGCAATGGCCTCCAACATAATAGCGATGGGCTCCATCCTAATAGCAAAGCACAGAATTGCATATGCACAAAACAAAGACAACCGGATTCTGAAGACCCTTTGCCACAGAGTTGCTTTTTCTTGCACCGGAACAGTTCCTGTCTCCCAAAAATTCATCCGCCAAGTGCCTGTTGAAACTCTAAAAGGATCTGAAAGGTCTTGTATCTTCAGGAAACTGCATAGTACCAGGCTCATGGCCGGTGACAGCTGAACTGTTGACCCTTAGAACCGTCATCAAAAACGGTGGTGATCACTGAGCCATGAAAGTGGTGATCACTGGTGGTTTCGGCTTTCTGGGCTTGCACGTGTGCAAACGAAGCTGGGCCGGCATGGGTGGATCTGGATTCCTTGGGATACATGGATTTCATCCAACCTACTAGCGATGGTACCCAACCTGCAAAAGGCACAAAGGAGTAATTACTGACAGTAGTGATCCCTTTCATATGGAAGATGCACATGATCCCGTTTGAGAGGAACAGTTCCCATGATGGTTGGGCAGTCGTCTAGTGTTCCAAGCGGTTCTTTCGGTTGGAAAAGCTCAGTCCTTCTGCTACCGGTGCCGTACCAGGAAGTGAAAACACTTGAAGACAGCGCAGTGTGCGCTTAATTCTTCTGCTAAAACACTATGCATCCAAGAACTCCCAGCGAAGCGCTCGCTTGCCGATCGGGTTTCACGGTTTTCTGCTTGACTAATTGTGGTGACTCTACTCCACCAAGGGGTGTGTCCACTGTGATCTTGGACTTTGCATGAACACGTTTGATTCAAACACGCCCGTCTAGTACCGCTGCCACACTCCGCGCCATGCTGCTTTGAATAGAGTGAGAGAGAGAGGGAGACAGCGAGTCGCAGTCGCAGGCGTCACACGCGTCACACGGTGCGGTTGATTCCCATGGTTGGTTGGCTTTTCGTCAAAGAAGATATGAGTGACCGGACTGACTGGACCGAATGGACTCGACTCTGTGGCCGGACCTAGGTGACCGGACCGGTTACTTGGGAGACTTGTTTGACAGGTTCACTGGGGAAGGTGCGGCAAGACTGCGCGTGGAAGACTGCTTCGCTGATGTTTTGAGCGGATATCTTGCAATCCAGGACTCTTGGCCATTGGAGAGCTTGCGGATGCATCTTGGCCATGGATGATTGAGAATGATCGAGAAGCCATGCAATTTTGTCGGACTTCCTTGTTTTGAGGGAAGCCGGTAGGAGTTTCAAAATGTGCAAAAGAAAGTATATATAAGACAACATCCTTGTTGCTTCCCCAACTCTTATACAAACAAACAGATTCGCTCCAATCGGCTGGACATTTGCTTCCTTCATTGCCTCACCTTTTGAGCAGCAACTATATACTGTATACTTCATATAATGATGGATGGCACGAAACCTTTCCTCCACGGTCCAGTGCCGGGATGTAGGTCCTGCGTGGAACCGCAAAAAGGGAAGGGTGGTCGATAGATCGCTTGTATGCAGAATGGTCCAACTCGCCGTGCACCCATCGACTCAGGTCTTGTGATTCGACCCTGTTTCCACCTCCCCTGGCTGGGGCTACTAGTAGCTTCTATAGCTACTAGTAGAAATTCCCTTGTTACTAGCAGCTTCTTGTTTCTAGTGGCCTCCAACCTAATGGCAATGACCTCCACCCTAGTAGCGACGGCCTCCAACCTAATAGCCAGGAGCTACGTTCGTAGCTTCTCTCAGGTCTTGTGATTAGACCCCGCTTCCACTTCCCCTGGCTGGTGAGTTCAGGCGGAGGACCAAAGCCAGGAAGTCTCGCAGATCATCCTCTTTGATCAAGGCTGAAGCTGTCAGGAAGGACGGTCACAGTAGGGATGGCCTTTGTCCGACTGGGAAGTGGAACGGAAGCGTCCTTGCTCCTAGTAAGACCAGGAGCCCCGTTCGTAGCGTCCTTGCTACTAGTGGCGATGCCCTTTGCTCCTATATACTAGCGTCCTTGTTCCCCCAAACATGGGCCACTTTTCCAGATTCGGTTTGGCCAGACAGGCTGGAACAGGATTTCAACATCTGTGCATTTTTCAGCCACCACAGTTGGACCCCAAAACCGCAGAGTGCGAAAACACCGCTGTGCGTAGCAATGGCCTCCAACATAGCGATGGCCTCCAACCTAAGAGCGAAGGCCTCCTCCTTTTTGCTTTTCCAGTCTGGGCCGTCCAGAGTTCTCCCACGACGGCATCCAGGCACTCCAAAGGGGATTCCGGAAGACCCCCGGGTGCAGCTGCGGGTGGGCGACATCGCCGATCCGGCGCAAGGGCAGCAGCTGGTCGACGAGGCGCCTTCTTCGGGACCTCACACAACAAACGAGAGAGGGATCCGGGTGAAGGGTAAACGATTGGGTGGTGCCCATGAAATAGGGGCTAAGAGTAGAGATGTTTCAATGAGAGTAGACTGACAGGCCGCTAGTTGGATGACTAACCCTCAGTCGCACCCAGATTCTTGCCTGTAGCTTGGACTTAGATCACTTGACTGAGTTGTAGCTTTCAACTGTACATACCTGTAGTCATCCGAAACTCCGTTGATGAACGGGATATAGCTGGTGAGTGAGTGAGTCAGACGGTGAGTGAGTGGATGGGTCTTTCTCCAGATTCTCCCCACGCGGGTCGTGTTTCGGACGAAAAGAGCACCTCGATTTGTGTTTCAGCTGCTTCTTGGTACGAACGTAGTAAGAATGCTCCCAGTAGTAAGGCCACAAGCCCCGTTCGTAGCGTCCTTGTTCCTAGTAGTAAGGCCAGGAGCCCCTAGTAGCTTCTTGTTGCTGCAGAGTCTGGGAGGATGGCATGGTGATCTTCCACTTGGCCTCAGTGATGAGCGGCCAAGGCGAGAAGGACTTCGACCTTTGCTGGCGTGCTGCTGGGATGAAGCATGTTGTTAGCGCAACGCTGCTGGGTCGTGTTTGCAGCAACGAACTTCTTTTCACCCATGTAGTCGGGGTGGTGGTGATGGTGGTGGCGGTGCTTACTCTCATGGTCCTATTGCAGAGTCTTGCTCGACCATGAACATCATGAACACGCCTGTCTTTTAAAGGTTTGAATTCCATATAGGAAGTGTTCTCCCAGACGATGAGTTCGAATTCGGGAAGCGATCCTCTATAGTCTCTAGAGAAAGAAGGTTGCCCAGTAAAGCTCGGAAAAGACACATCCAAACGTTTCGATTCAAGACCAACCAACGTAGCAACCAACATAGCAACAGAGACGTTTAAAACAAATGAGAAACTGAGCCTATGTCCCAGATGTCTTTTGTCCGATAGGGAGCATGCAGAAGGGAATTTTAGAGTTGTTGATTCAGAAGCTATCCTGCTTAGAAAGTGCATTTAGACACCACTGTTGCTCCACAAATTACTTACTCGCCCCTTGTCATACTTTGGGATCACTTATGGCACTCGAAATCAGTAAAAATAACACGTCGGTCACTCCGGAGATTTTGAGGTGAACATGGAGGGCACTCGAAATTTGTTAGAAGCCTGCCGGCGAAGCTCCTGGGACTGCACACAGCGACAAGAGCTCCTTGGAGCCTTGTTAAAAGCTTTGTTAGAGAATTGAGTCAAGCTTGAATCAAACAATTCGAAAAGCGTAGCACTTGGAAGCGTATGCTTTGATTCCCTTTTGACTGAGCACCGCATAGCACCGAATAATGCTGCACAATTAGATGATCACCGAGGGCCACAGAATGGCACAGAGCCAGAATCACGTCATTTCACCAAATCTCCAAATTCTTCAGGCCCTCCTGTACAGCCTTGGATTTTGGCAGACTGTCTTATCAATTGCAGGGTGTGCACCAGAACGGCTTTCAGGTTCGATTCTACTTCTGAATTCTCTCTCCCCGGCCGAAGCTCCGCAAAGGAGCCCTGCCGCCAACGGAAGGATATGCCGGTCCCAGACACTCCATGTAGAGCCTACATTTGCCTACAGTGCGATGCTTGAAGGTCTGGGTCAATGCATATGTCCATACGTTGATGGTCTGGGTATGTGATCAAAGTTCAGCACATTTCAGAACAACCGTCGGCTTCGAGTCTACAATCCTTCCGGCCTGAGTCCACAGGGCTTGAGTTTTAGGCCTCAGACTGCTGGTGCTTCAACATGTGTTGTTGTTTTTACTCATTTTTCGTTACTGTATAGAGTATATCAGTATATTATCCAACCAAACTCTGCCATGCCCGAAGGTCGAAGTAGGCTTTCGCAAAAGATCCGTCCTTCCACTTCGGAACCGGAAGTTCTTTTTTGTTGAAACCGGTGCATCAGATAGTGCATCAGGGGTCCCTTCAATCTTCCATCTTCCATCTGTTCAAGGCCTTCCGCTCCACCCTGCTCTCCCTCCGGCGCCAGGGCGTGGCTGCAAGTTCATCTTCGCCTCCTCGGGCGCCTGCTTCGGGGAGCGGCCACCAGGGCCGGAGACGGACGGCACCAAGCTCTTGCCGGAGACCAGCTATGGTATGAGACTTGGTGTGTGGGGAAGGATAGGAACAAGTGCCTTACTAGTAGTAACAAGTGCCTTACTAGTA